AAAAGTGGTTCGAACAAATTTTATAATTGCGTAAATTCTCAAGTTCTGATTATCAGTGAAATAATACTAAATTTAAAAAAGCAAGACTTAAAACAGATATTATATGTAGTATATTGTGAGAATTATGTTTGTAAAATATACTCAACTAAATGTAACGCTGAAAATTATAACAAGAAGTTATTGTATTAATTATGCATAATGAAGAATTTCATAATTTCTGTGTCCTACTATTGAATTTTAATTCTCCAATTACAATTATTTTCAGATAATATTATATAGTAATAATCAATGATAGAAAAAAAAATTATGCACTTATATCTAGTACAAGCGGTCATAAATCGTGTGTCCAGGGCCGATTCTAATGCTGTAGTAGGATTATTTTAGCGCTCCACAAAAAAACATTTAACTTTTTTTTAAATTGATGAGCTAAAATAATAAATCATGAATATATCAAAGCAAATTCCCATTTTCCTAGATGGAACGTCCTATATTTTCACAATTGTTGATCAGTAGAAGTCTACGTAATTTATTATAATTAATAATTTTAAAAAATAATTAACAAAATGGATGATGTAAACTGAAATTTCTGTGCATATTTCATTTTTTTTATTACACATTGTAGGCTTAACAAAACCAGAATTTTTGGAGGTGTTAAAATAATTTTTTCATTATGCAAAAAATATTTGTAGTTTTACAATTTTTTGGGTAGGGTAGGTGCTCTAGCTACATCATAGTTGCCAGGTGCGTCTCTGTAGGGGTGAACACAATCACCTCTCTCATACAATGTTTTCAAAAATAAATATTATAATGTATAATATTATAATATTATAGTGTACCTATTACTCTTATAACTTAAATGTTTATTATATGTATGAATAAATCATTTTTTTTCAAATTTATTCATGTGCGTATAAATAGATATAGCTATTACTAAACTAAAATTTTTAAAATAAAAGAGTATTAAACTTTGTTGTTTAACTTAAATAAATATTATTTTTATGCTGCTTGTTCATCATTATATTTTAGAGTTATAAATAAAAAATTAAACTAAATTTGAAATTATTTTAATAACAGTTTTAAAAAGTGTTTTTTGGGTCTAATACTATTAGGTTTATTGAATTGTATTTTTAATTTTTATTATAACTCTTATTTCTAATTTCATACTGTTTTCGGAAGTATGATAATTAAAAAATATCTTATATACATTGATAACATATTTTTTCGAATCTTTTAAATATATTTGAAAAAAATATTAATGTACAACGGTTACAATTAAAGTTTTTCAATCGATTTTCACATTTTGTAATGTAATTTTGATTTTAAATATCAGTTTAAAATTTTTTTCAATTTCGCTTAGCCTTTCAATTTTTATATTGAATTTTTCGATTTTACGGATATTGATATCGATATCAAGCCCTTTAAAAATAAATTTAATGCATATAAGTAACATTTAAAATGAAAAATAGGTGATATTTAATCTATAGTAATGTTGTGAAACCAACTACTTCCAGTATATGTTGAATATGAAAATAAATAATAATATAAAATATCTAACTAAACGATATATCAATACACTTATTTATATAGCTGTTAACAGCTGTTTTTGCAGACAAAAATACTTGTTTGACGAAATAAGAGCAAAAATTATTTTGAAAGGGCATCTTGCCCATTCTTCTCCTCCTTTAGCATTGTCCTTGATAAATACATTAATAAAAATAATTATCTTGGTTAATATCTGTGAATAAAAATATATTTGTTTTTCATTATTATAAAGACCAAGCTTTTTTATACAAAAAATGCTCTTTTGCTTATTGACATCAAAACAAATTTAGTATTTTTAAAATACTTGAGTATAATACTTAACATTAATAATAATTGTGTTCAATTTTTACACTCCATTTATAGATAAATAATTAATTAAAATAGTGTGGTTAAAATAAAAATCGTAAAATATCCATTTTAAAAGAAGAAAATCATCGCATCTAAAATAGTATGAGGATGTACGAATTAGAAAAATATTAAATAATCAAGTGAATAAATTTTAGCAAACGAAATTTTCAGAGAACTTCGATAATATTATTGTATCAATGTATAGTATAACTTTTATTTTAAAATTTTAAATGAATGAATATCGGAAAACAATCCAACGACTGTTAATATTATGCTATTATTTGTAATATTCACATATAATATGATACCATTATCTGTACATTTGTGTCACATATTATGATTACATGATATCAACTAATCAAGATTCTTTTATTGAAAACACAAAAAATCAAACTAATTATTGTATAAATATAGAGTAACGTCTACCTACAGAGCTTCTGTTGCAATTAGCCAATTAAAGTTAAAATTCTCAGCTTCCAAAATTACGTTTGGGATCACTAGAATTTTCCACCCTGACTATAAAAAGCCATTTTTCCATATTCAAACCAGTCCATTACAATAAAACAACTTTTACAAAATTTACTGCACTATTCGAATTTTTTACTTTTTAGGACTTCGTCAAACTTTAAATTAAAAAATAAACTTAGTTTTTTTTTGTTTTGGATTTCGAATATTTTTCAGTTTAAATAATACTTGAAAAATTTAGTGTGAATTTTGTTTTGGTGAATTATTTAATTAAAATATATTTGCTTATTAAATAATATTCTATTTTTTTTATTTAGAAATAAATGCCAATAAATATTTTAAGTATATAATATTTTTCAATTTATTTTATTTTTATGAAAAATCTAACCAAACTTAAATTATTTATTCAATAATAAAAATCTATTGTAAGTTTTTTTATTGAGTAGCTAGTCTCGCGCTAAATAGTTCTTACAACATCACGCTGGCATTAAGAGCTAAACTTTTATACTAAAACGTTAAACTTTTTTTAACGTTCGTGTAACGTTAAACTATAACATTAAAAACTGTCTTAAAATTAAAAAACACACAACTAATTCAATATTAACATTACCGCATTTAAATTATAGAATCCTCCTTATTATGGCTAAAATTTAAATGAAATAAAATTATATCAAACTCTTTAATTTCATGATTACTGTGTATATATATGATGATAATGTGTATACATTACAAACTTGTCATTAATACCATGATAAGAAATTAGATAAGGCAATTATTACTTATCACTCTCATTCAAAAGTATATTAAAAAGATAGCGTTTTCTTCTGTCCTTTCCTCAATACGTATTTCAATGTTCAATACCGTAAAATAATACATGAAAATTCAAATTTTCACAAACTTCAAAACGCTACAGAATATTTACTACTGAATATTAATAAGATATTTTTTTACTAAAATTTTTCTTAAATTCTACTTTACAAAATAGCTATCTTAGATTTTTTTTTTACATTTTATTTAAAATTTAAAAATAATTAATATTTTTAATAAAATGTAAAAAAATTAATTATTGAGATATAGCTATAGACCTAACGTATAACTATTATTTAAAAAAAAAATCAACTAAAAATATTAACTGGATCAAATGTTATTTAAGTTTTCAGTGAGTGGTGGCCCACTCTGTATATCTGTCAAATATACTGTAGCACTTTGAAGTTTGAGGAAAAAGTATAACATGTAAAATATAACTTTAGAAAATCAGAAAATTATTGCTTCAAAAAAAAATAATTTAAAAGTTATTTTTTACTATTTTTGCTTTTAATGTAATTATGTATGTTAAANTCGTATGTATGTAAGCAAGACGCATAAAAAAGATAGACGACAACAACACAGGGTCGTGGCTAATAATTGTTTTCTTATTTGAATTTGGTGAAAGCGAACTCGAGTCTGAAAGGATTTCAGTGCTTTTTATAGTTAATGATAGTACCCCCAATCCAGGAATATTGTTGTCAGCGCTTTTAGTGATCTTTTTAGTTTATTGTATTTAATTATACATTACATGATTATTATATTGAGATAGCATATTTAACAATTGATAAATTGACATATATATAAATAATAAGAAATTGTGTTGAACAGTGTACGTGTTATGACAGATAAGTTATTTGTTTGTTTACAAGTAATATAAAATACAGATTATAAATTTACCATTGATTAATGTAAAATGCGTAATGCATTGGGCATATTGCGACAATACATTGTAGATTAATATTAATAATTAATTAACGTTTAATGTTAAAACTATTTTTGTTGTTGTTTTTGGGCTTAGTAGGTATTTTATTAGTTCATTTTATTTTGATCTTACAGTCTCAACCTATTATTTTTGTATGGAGTTTACATACAAGGTGTTCAGTAAGTCAGGAAACGGGTTTCTATTGTTCTCATTGTTTGTAACAATTGTACATATACAATGTATATGTAATTTAATAGGTACACCGTATAGACTCCATGCCTATATTGTTCGTTAATGTTTCTAGAAATTTATAATAATTTTTTCACTATGTACAGATGCAGAGGTATAGGTTATTTATGCGAAGAGGATGCAGTGAATACAAAAATAATATTCGAATAATTTTAATGTCGATTGATTTCTTAAAAAATTATAATGGATGGTAAAAAAAGCAACCAAAACCCAATCTACTTGTCCACAAACTAGTTTTTGTATGTGCATTTTATGCTGTTTTTGGGAAACATAAGTTTATAGCTATTGTGATATTTTCTAAATAAATAACTTTAAAAGTTGAGTATTTTCGTCATAAAATATATTTTCCATTTGAAAAATAAAATTAGTACTCTGCTGCTCATGTAATACAATTTTTGAAAAAGTCATTACAATTTTATAATATCAATAAAATTATAAATATAATTTTAAATAGCTATAAACTTTTTCAGAGCCATAATTTACAATAATTTTTTTTCTATCAAAAATAACTTATTAATACATGTGAATATCTACTGAAGTATTAACATGTGTTATTTAAATTGAATTCGAAATACATCTAAGTAAATATTATAACATATAAGTAATGACTATAAATAATGAGATGGACAAATGTTTTTAAACAAACAAATTCTACTTCTATTTTCGAACCCAGATTATATAAAACTTATAATATGAATTACACATTATTTTAATAGTTTTTCAACTGTCAACTCTAGTTCAATCATGTTTTTATTCACCTATTCATTTTTCATTGCTTTATACATCTTAGGTACTTCAGCGTTGATTCAGAAGGATGAAACCGGCAGTGACCTTTTACCAACTCCGGTGAGAATGTTTAAGTTATCCCTATGACAATATTGTAATCTAATAATTAAACTTGATAAATATATTTAATTTATGAAAATCAAAGTCTATAAATTTTTTTAAAATTATATAATATATGTCTGAAAATAATAAATTAAACAGTAAAGAATCGAATTTGATAACAAATGAATCATTTTTTTTTTTTACTAATTGTTCATTATCATCTTCTTAGCCTTTATACCAGCTGTTTGAGATCAGCTCTACCTACGACTTAACAGATTTTTTACGCCGATTGTCTACCTGACGTGATCTCATTATGGCTATATCATTAAAGTTTCCGTATGGTCACCGATCCGGAAATCAACACCAAATAACGCAGCTGAACATCACTGCTAATACGGTGACTAATTGATTCACTGCGCCCCATTAATTTATTTCTATTTGATTAATAAAAAATTTATAAATAAAAATTGTTATTTTTAATTTGTATCTATGATCCGTTTGCATATTAAGACGAAATTTAACATTTTTGGCAAATATTTTGTGACATGATTGGTTTAGCAAATGATCTTAATATTGAACAATCCCTCTCAAAAATAAAAACACTCACTATATATTACTTTCTTTACATACTACTTAGGATAATTTTGATCATTTGCCGTTTTACTATCAAGTTACAAAACTTTGCTAGAACAATTAAAATATTGTTAATTACAAGAATATTTCAGGATTTCAAAGTTAATTTAATAACAAAATTTGTTGACTGAATGATGACTTTAACTATAATCAATCAACGTTAAAGGAAATTAGTTTCTAAAGTAAATCTTAAATATTACACACATTAATATTATGTGTGTCTGTATGTATTATTTAATTCATGTATTACATACATTACATCGATGGTCTAGGTTTTTTGCGAAACTGATTATTTTCTTATACAATAACGCAAAAAAAAATCGTGCTTTTCTGATAAAATTACTGTAAATAGTAATTATAAAATTGCCTGACTGCATATTAATCTTAACAATACCATTTTTTTCTATTTAATAATTTCAATTTCAAACTTGCAAGTTGAGCTAAAAGTTATGGTAATAAATTAATTTTTTTTTATAAACTTACATTTTAAAGGACAAAAAAAGTAGGTTAAAATGATTAATTTTATCTTATTAAAAATCAAAATCAATAATAATTTGAAAACAATTAATTATAAAAATTATATATTATATATATGAATCTAAGAATTATTAATCAGAATACAATTAAATCAATAAGAGTTGATATTGCTTTTGTAATTATCCATCAATTTCTTAGAATTAAACACTATTTACAAATTTGCATCGAAGCATTTCTTATGATATTTTAATCACTGTCTGGTTAAATCTAAACTATGCCATATCCATTTAGTGCCGTGACCCCACTGTGCTACTGTTTTCTAATACAAAAATGTTTGAAATCACACCGTTTTATAGTATTTTATAATGTAGAGTTTATATTCCTTGTTATGGCGAACAATGTTTAATTGAGCTCCTAAATTTAAATAAATTAAAATTAATATAGTTTAACAAGGCTTCGCCTAGCTGGGGCTCGGACCTAGACTAGAAGACCTACGAGATTCAAGCGTCTTCGCTGCATAAGATTCTTTGGGCCGTCTAGAAAAGTATTCCACTGATTTCAGTAGGAGTACCTGGCTACGCTGGCCACGATTAGTGTTTTATATTAGAATCAGTGAAATGAAATATATTAAACATTATATATTAAAATCAGGAAAATTCTAAAAAAGAAAATAGTAAAATTAATTGGGGTATAAGGTTGACATTTGTTACTGAGATATTCATTTGGAGTGTATTCAGAAGTAATTTTAAAAAGAGATTTAATTTTTTTTATTTTGGTAAACATAGTATAGAATTTTTTTTGCTACAAATCAAAAATATGATCAATAAAACGTTCATTGGTGCCATATTTCTTAGAAGTCATCTAAAAAATATTAATAGCGCTGGTTCAAGGACAGCAATCGCCCATATCCCACTTAAATACACACTCAGTATACACAATAATTGATTATAATAATTGTATTAATACTATAGAATAATTTCAAAAAAAAAAAAATTAGACAAGTTATCTCGGACGAACGGCAATAATTTTCCATGACCAACTACTTAAGTTGAAAAAAAACTTTTAAAAATCGAAATACATAAAGGACTTTTCCCAGAAAAGCAATTTTTACTTATTCTATTATATAATAAGATTATAAAATAGCTGTGCTTAATAGCTGCATTTAATTATATAGTAATCACCTTTTTTATGCGTTAAACAATAGATATATTAGTTTTAATTTATATACTCACTGAACAATTATAAATTATTTTTGTATAATTTATTAAAATTAGTGAAAATATAAAATGTTATTTTTTCATATTGTTGTCTTGAATCAAAAGTGACATTATTTTTTCTGCAATTTTGAGAAAAACATTTATTTTTGGTTTTATATAAATTTAAAAATACAAAAATCTCTTTAATTAATGATAATAACTAAAATTGATTGGGTTATATTTAGATTTATTTTTAATGCATAATTTTCGAACATTTAACTTGAAAAAAATTACTATATCTAGTTTAATGAATAGCTTAATTTTTAGAAAAGTTCTTTTATTATTTTTTTATTATTTTTATAATACAGACTGTCGAAGAAAATAAAAATGAACTTTTTTTACCTGTTGACAAAGACTGGCAGATAGAAATGTGTAATAAGTTAAACTTTGTTTGGAATGAAACATGTATACAAGAAAAACCCGAGCTTTTCCGCAGTTTTCCAAAAAAAATAGTTGATATAAGGAAAGATGGTAATTGTTTTTTCAGTTCCTTGTCTTATTGGATATCTGGTACAACAAAGTATGGGCAAATATTGCGAAAAAATATTATTGATGTAATAGTTATTGAATTTTTAATAATGACCTCCTTAATCTTAATTATGCTTACATCAACGTCTTTTAATTTTTAGTTTGCCAAAACTTCAGAAATATATAAAACTATGACGTGCGATGACGAGCGAGATGCACGCATTAGAAGAATGTATCGTTCTGGTATGTACAAATATAATTCTAATTTTAAGAATATTAACCATAAAAGTGTCATTAATAGGTTTGTCAAGTATTAAAGTAATTTTCTATATATTTTCATTGAACCTATATTGGAAGAAGTTATGTATACAGCGTGAACGAAATTTTACATTAAGACTTTTTCTTGTAAATAATTGAAGTATAAAAAAAAGTTACTTACTTTAATAATAACTAAAATTTTTGTAATTACATTTTACCTTCGTGCGAAGCTGAGATTTTTTTTTTTTGTGTCTGTTACCAATTTTAATCAGCTCTCACCGAACTAACTTCTTTCAATGGTACGATAAAGATCACAAATCGTATCTAGTCGAAGACATTACCCTTAAAAATTGAAAAAATTTTATATATATATATTTATAAAACTGCCAAATTTTTAGCTTCGATGCCAAGCTGGGAAGGTATTACTTTTACGATGATGTGTTTATTTTTTTTTTTTTGTGTCTGTCACTACTTTTTTTCAGCTTTCTCTGAACCGATTTCTTTCAAAATACGTCAAAAGATCACAAATTGTATCTAGTCGAAGACATTACTCTCAAAAATTGAAAAAAATTCTCCTGTTCCCCGTAAATGGGGGAAACCTCCAAAAAACTTACAAATTTAAAAATCGCTAATTTTCAAAATTTTTTCAATTTTTTTTTACTAAAAACTGCCGTAATTTTTTTAAAAATGAACATATCAATATAATTTTTTTTTTTATAGATGTTTGATGTCTTTAACTATCATTTGGTATATTTTTTTTATAAATTTAACCCTTACCCTGCCCACAAGAAGGGATTTAAAATGACAACTTTTTCACAAAAAATTTACTTTTTCAACTTAACTTTTGAAAATGTTCCGGAAGGTCTGACACTTTTATATATATCTTAAATTAAAGCTAATGTAATGTACTTTATTATAAAAAAAAAAAATTTGACCTCTAGACTTGTCTTCGTGGTGAAAATAGCTACCAACTTCTATTTTCTGTTAAGACATTACCCTTAAAAATTTTAAAATTTTCCCTCGTTACTCGCAAATGGGGGAAATCTCCAAAAAAATTACAAATTTAAAAATCGGTAAATTTCGTCATTTTTTTCACTTTTTTTCTTAAAACTTCCATAACTTTTTCAAAAATAAACAAATCAACATAACTTTTTTTTATACTAAAACCTTAGATATTTTTCTTTCGTTTGGTATAATATTTTTGAAAATTTAACGCTTAACCTGCTCACTAGGGGGGATTTAAAATAACAACTTTTTTACAAAAACTAACTTTTTCAACTTAATTTTTGAAAATTTTCCAGAAATACTGCGTCCTTTAAACATATACCAAATTAAAGCTTATTTATATACTATAAAATGTAAAAAGAAAATTAGTCCCGACACTTTATCTTTTGCATGCAAACGGCTGCCGTAGTAAAAAAAACGCTATTTTTATGTTAAAATTTTCGATTTTAAATTATCAACTTAAAAATGCTATAACTTTTCGAAAAATGTAAGTGTCAGAACAAATTTTTTTTCTAAATACATTATAAGTACATCTTTCATTTGACATACTTTTTATTAAAATTGGACTATTTCCCTTTATATAGGGGTCGTTTAAAACTTGAAACATTGTATAAAAAATAGAACTTTTTCAACTTAACTTTTGAAAATGTTTAGGAAATACTGCGTCCTTTAAACTTATACCAAATTAAAGCTTATATCATGTACTATAAAATGTAAAAAAAAAATTTGTCCCGACACCTTATCTTCTATGTGCAAATGGCTGTCAAAATTAAAAAAAAAATGTAATGTTTGCGATAAATATCACCTTCTTCAACTACAAAAGTAAATAATTTTACTTTGTAATTTATTAATTTTTTAACTCTATTTGTGTGTGCTACTACCGGTCTATAATATTTCAAATTTTTTGGTAACATGTTGCTACATAAATCATAAAATAAAAAAAAAAAATGATTTTTAGTTTCACCTGAATTTAACGATGGATTTTTACAATTATAATCGAATTTTATAATACGCTCAATTGTGTAAATCTTTTTTAAACTTTTTTTTTATTGGTTTTTTTAGATATATAATCATCAAAATTAATTAAATTCTGAATATTTCCTTTGTAGAATCTTTTTAAACACCAAAAGTTAATTAAAAATGATTAGTATGATTTTTATTTAAGTGATCTATTATGATAAAAATGTAAAAAAAATCGAACTTTTCTGATAAATGTACTGTAAATAGTAATTATAAAATTTCCTGATTGCATATTAATCTTAACAATATCATTTTTTTCTATTTAATAATTTCAACTTCAAATTTGAAGTTAAACTAAAAGTTATGGTAATAAATTAATTTTTCTTTATTAAAACTTTCACTTTAAAGGAAAAAAAAGAAGTAGGTCCAAAATGATTACTTTTAACATATTAAAAATCAAAATCAATAATAATTTGAAAACAATTAATTTTAAAAATTATATAATATATAATTAAAAGAATTACTAATCTGAGTATAATTAAGGAAATAGAAGTTGATGTTGCTTTTGTAATTATTCACAAATTTCTTAGAATTAAACACTATCTACAGATTTGCATGGAAGCGTTTCTTATGATAGTGATTTTAATCACTGTCAGATTAAATCTATACTGGATCCTACTATGCAACGTCCCCACTATGCCGCGACCCCACTGTACTGGGTTTTTTTTTATAGATGCTTGATGTATTTACCTATCATTTGGTATATTTTTTTTATAAATTTGACACTTTACCTGCCCACAGGAGGGGATTTAAAATGACAACTTTTTCACAAAAAATTTACTTTTCCAACTTAACTTTTGAAAGTGTTCCGGAAAGTCCGACACTTATATATATAAATTAAATCTGATGTAATATACTTTAATTTAAATGGATCCTTGATATTCATTGAAGTTAATGAAACTAAATGAGATAAAAATTGAATGATTTGAAAATATTTCTAACTTAAAAAAAATGCAATATATTAATTGTCACAGGCGACTTCGAACCAGATACCCTAACCGTGAAAGACACAAGTGTTACCAATTCGGCAACTGTTCGTCACTTATGCCGATGAATAAAATTAGCAATTTAAGCTAATTCAAATTGTAAAGGTACTTTTTCGATTTTAAAAATACAAAAAAATTAAAATAAGTTTAACTTCTTATTTCTTATAAATAATAATATAAGCTTTAATTTAATATTAAATAAAAGTGTCAATATTTTCGAAACATTTTCAAAAATTGAAAAAGCTTAACTTTTGTACAAAAATTGTTTTTTTGAATTTCCCCTGCGGGCAGGTTTGAGTCAGATTTTCAAAAAAATTATAACAATTGAAAGAAAGATGTCTAAGGTTCCAATATAAAAAAAATAATAATAATAATTTGTTAGTTTTTCACAAAGCTAAGGCAGTTTTAAGTATTAAAATATTTTATGTTAAACAGTGATTTTTATATAAAAATAAGTTTCGTTAAATTGGACGGCCATTTTTCTATAGAAGATAAAGTGTCGAGACAAATTTTTTTTTTGAACTTATAGTAATTATCATAAGTTTTAATTTGACATATGTTAAAAATATACAATATTTCCGTAATATTTTCAAAAGTTAATTTTATTTAATTGTAATTAATTTAATTGTAAAAGTTCTACTTATTATACGTACTTTTCAAGTTTTGAAAGGTCCCTGTATAAAAGAAAATTGTCAAATTTAAATAAAAATTATATTAAATAAAAGAAATATTCATAATGTATATAGAAAATAAAAACCCAGCACAGGGGGGTCGCGGCACAGTGGTGACGTGGCATAGTTGGATCAAGTAAATGATATCTGACAGTGATTAAAATCACTATCAAAAATAAACGCTTCGATGCAAATCTTTAGATAGTGTTTAATTTTAAAAAAATTGGTGTTTTATTCCAAAAGCTACTTGATCTGCTGGTTCCTTATTAATATCT